GCCGCCACGATGACAAACAGCGTGTGAAGATGCCGGTAAGCCACGAGCCACGTGGCAAGGTATAGATTTATAGAAATGGATTAATTTAAGCTGTAAGAACAGTTAGCAAGAAGCCTGCCACGGCCATACAGTTTGTAACCAATATAAGTCTCTGTGTTTACTTGGTCGGGTCTGAGTGGCTGTGGGACTGGCAGGTGAGAGAGATTTGTCCTGACTGTGGGCCAGGCAGGAAAACTCTAGCTACAAAGAGCTCATAATGCCATTGTGCTGTGGGATGGTCTGTATGTCAAATGTGTTGCTGATTGGTCAATAAATAAATCACTGATTGGCCCGTGGTCAGGCAGGAAGTATAAGCGGGACAAGGAGGAGAATAGAGCTGGGAAGTGGAAGGCTGAGTCAGAGAGACACTGCCAGCCGCCATCAGGACAAGGAAGATGCAAAGTACCGGTAAGCCACAAGCCACGTGGCAAGGTATAGATTAATGGAAATGGATTAATTTAAGCTATAAGAACAATTAGCAAGAAGCCTGCCACGGCCATACAGTTTGTAACCAATATAAGTCTCTGTGTTTACTTGGTTGGGTCTGACGGGCTGTGGGACTGGCAGGTGATAGAGATTTGTCCTGACTGTGGGCCAGGCAGGAAAACTTAAGCTACACCATCGTATTATCATCATCGCTTTGTTGGGAGACAGAAAGACAGACAGACAGACAGAGAATATGGAGGAAGTGAGTGTGTTATGTGGCCTCTGTTTCTTGGCTGAAGTGACATTCCTTGCTTCAGCCTTCAGGTGAGCACAATTGTGCCCGGAACTCTTATTACTACTAAATCATCTCTAATACCTGAGAAAAGGTCCCCTTTTACTCATAAAATTGTTTTTACCTGGTTCTCTTTTTAAAAACTGTATATTTTATTTTACACTTATGGGTGTACATGTACATCTATGCACCACATGCATGCAGTGCCCAAAAAGACCAGAAGAGGGTGTCAAATTCCACAGAACTGGACTTAACAGATGGTTGTGAGTCACCATGGCTGGGCATTGAACCTGGGTTCCCTGGACGAGCAGTCGGTGCTTTTAGCCCCTGGGCCATCTCTCCAGCCCCTACTCTTTACTACTTTTTATGTTTAATGTTGGCAGAGTTTTCTGAGCTCTATTAGTTGTTTCAAAGAGGAAACTTTTAGCTTTGATAACTTCGTCTGGTATTTATAACTAGTTTTTGACTCAGTTTCTGTTCTAAGTGTGTTTCTCCTCTAGTTGGGTATGTTGTATATGTGTTTGTGTGTGTGCACATGTGTGCATGTGTGGGTACAGACCAGAGACCAAGAACGAGTGCCTTTCTTATTTACTCTGCACTTTATTTCTTTGAGGGTCTTTAACTAACTTTAACTGGAGCTCAGATTCAGCTGGTTTCTAACAAGTGCTATGACTGCTGCCTGACTCAGTTTCCCCAGCCTCCCTATTTAGAAGTATTGCATTTACAGTGCTGGGCTTACAGTTGTGGCATGTAGCTTTCTTGTGGGCACTGGGGTTCCAGACTCAGGTCCTGGCAGATGCTTTAATGGTAGCCCCCCTCCACCCCCAACCCGGCCCCACCCTCCCTACCTTGGGCCTTTGGTTTGCTTGTTTGACTTTTGAGGTAGAGTCTCTCCACGTAGTCCTAGCTTGCCTGGAACTCACTCTGTAGACCAGGCTGGCCTCAAACTCCTAAGAGCTCTGCCTGCCTCTGCCTCCTGTGTGCTGGGATCAAAAGCAAGCACCCGCATGCCTGGCTGTCTTGTCTTTTAAAAATTTACTGTTTTTCTCTTACTAACTTCTTAGTTCGTGCCCTTTATGAAATTATACAATTTAAAATAGGTTTTTTTTTAAGATTTACTTATTCTATGTATTGCTGTGGGACGGTCTTTCTGTGTTCTGTGAATATGTTGTTCCCATTGGATAATCAAGAAGCTGCTTTGGCATATGGCAAGACACATTATGGCCAAGTGGGAAATCCAAGCAAAGATACAGGGAAAAGAAAGGGGGAGTGAGAGAGACGCCAGCCCACTGCCAACATGCCAACAGACTAGTAACACCATGGCCACGTGGCAATACACAGATTAATCAAAATGGGTTAACTCAGCAAGTAGCCTGAGCCACAGAAGGACAAACATGGTATGTACTCACTCATAAATAGATACTAGAAAGCAAAGGATAACCAGACTGCGACCCGCAGCTTCAGAGAAGCTAGCTAACAAGGAGGACCCTAAGAGGGACGCAAGGATTGCTCTGGGAAGGGGAAATAGATGAGATCTCCGTGAGTAAACTGGGGATGGGGGGGAGCAAGGGAGGGTAGGGGATAGGGGATGAGAACATAAGGGAATGGGATGGTTGAGATGGAACAGGGATGGAGTGGAAGAGCAATGAAAGATAACATGATAGAGGGAGACATCATAGGGATAGGGAGAAACCTGGTGCTAGGGAAGTTCCCAGGAATCCACAAGGATGACCCCAGCTTAGACTACTAGCAATAGTGGAGAGGGTTCCTGAACTGGTTTACCCCAGTAATACCCCAACTGTCATCATAGAGCCTTCATCCAGTAACTGATGGAAGCAGATGCAGAGATCCACAGCCAAGCACCAGGCCTATCTCCAGGAGTCCAGTCGAAGAGAGAAAAGAGGGATTCTATGAGCAAGAGGCATCAAGATCATGATGGGGAAACCTACAGAGACAACCAAACCAAACTAGTGGGCACTCATGAAATATAGACCATCACCTGTGGAGCCTCCAAAGGACTGGACTAGGCCCTCTGCATAAGCGAGACAGTTGTGTAGCTTGATCTGCTTAAGGGGTCCCCCGGCAGTAGGATCAGGATCCATCCCTGACGCATGAGCTGGCTTTTTGGAGCCCACTACCTGTGGTGGGACACCTTTCACGGTCTTGAAGCAGTGGGAGGGGCTTGGTCTTGCCTCTACTGAATGTATCAGGCCCATGGGAGGCCTTACCTTCTTGTAGGAGGGAATGGGGGTTGGGTTTGGGGGGGGGGAGACTGAAGGGGTAGAAGGAGGGAAGAGAGGTGATCTGTGATTGGTATATAAAATGAATAAAAAAATTTTCTTAAAAAAAGAAATGAGAAAAAACAGAAGAAGCCTGAGCCATAGACCATACAGTTTGTAATTAATATTAAGCCTCTGACTGGTTATTTGGGTACCTGGTTACAATTTATATGGTGCTCTATCTGTATGTACATCTGCATGCCAGAAGAGGGCATCAGATTCCATTATAGATGATTGTGAGCCACCTTGGTTGTTGGGAATTGAACTCAGGACCTCCGGAAGAGCTGCCAATGCTCTTAACCACTGAGTCATCTCTCCAGCCCCCAAAATTATAAAATTTAAAGTGTTTAGTTGTTTTTAGAATTTTTATTTTGTTATGTTATTTGACAGCATATTTCTTACTTTCCAGTAGAAGATTCTATTATTGTTGTTGTTTATTTTTGTTTAGTTTTTTGACACTGATGTCTAATTATTCACTGTTGCTGGGGAAAGGTATCCATATGACATATTCTTTAAAATTTGCTTCATGGTACATTAAGTGGGAAAGTTTAAAAATTCTTCTATATATAGGCTGGTGAGATGGGTCAGTGGATAAATGTGTCTACTGCAACTCCCTCCATTTATAACCGAGGAAACTGAAATTCTGCCTAAATAAATGATTTTATAACAGAAGCTAGAACATTTGCTGGACCAGGAAGAATAGTCTTAGTAGTCGGCTTGATTGTCTCTGTTTTCAATAACGGAGTTGAAAGAGCAGCCGGTGCGGGAATTACCCATGGACCCCTGGGCAGTTGTGTTCTCTCAGAGCTCCCAATGGAACAAGTAGCTCGGTTACTGTTCTCAGTTTTTCCTGCCTGTGACTCCAGACCCCACTCAGAGTCTTTGCACTGGTAACACAAGAGACACTGGGACCATGACGCTGTGTGCCACGCCAACAAGCTGTCCTAACACATCAGTAAGAAGGGGCTGCTGAGAGACCAGAGGATGTGATCATCCCCATGTCCCTAATGTGCATTCCTGACAGGATTCAATTAGCAGGCTCGTCTACCAGGTGGCGCTGTCCTGAGAAGCCACCACTCAGCTATTACAGGGGCCACTAGTTCATCCTCCTCTTCAGCCAGTGAAGCCCTGGTGTTGATGGACATCTCAACAGAAGCATTTAGAACAATTTCTGACCCTTCTAGCCGACTCCTATTAATCACTTTTAGACCTAATCAGCTGCCAACAGCTTTTCAACTTACATTAATAGTTTTCTGCCACATAAGTGTTCATCAGGTCAAGAACTGGGAATTACCATTTTCATCCAAATTAAGAGTTTTCCTTATTTCTACAGTTTTATTCCTACCATAGGCAACATTGTGACCCACGCCTTTGTTCATCCATAGTGTTCCCTTTGCACTCTCTTTCACAGCCCCTGTCCAGCAACCTCCTAGGCGGCAGCCTGTCCCACCCATTGCAGGCAGGGCTGTCCCCTGAACAGTTCATCTCAGCTGCTACAGTCCAAGTCAATAAAATGGGTATGGACAGGGAAAGGGCCCCGCAGTTCATGGCTGAATGGTCAGGTTACCTTATTGCTTAGTCTAGCAAATGCAAGCCTAAATATTAGTTCTTCGTACTAAATGCTTCAAGTGGGAAGGCGGCTTTCTCCTGGGGCAGGGGGAGCCTCTTCTGGTGACATGGTGAACACTGGGTTTAGAATTAGGACTCGGAGATGATTGTCCTGTCTCGGATGAGAAGTGTACTCTGAGGAAGTCCCTACATACACCTTCCATTTCAGAGACAATGAAGGAGTTTGGACTGGATCCCAGAGCGACTCCTTTCTGGGTTTGCAGACAGAGGTCTTTATTACATCACTCTCCTCGCTGGAACTCGTAGAGCGTCAACTCTAAACTGATACAATGAGAGCCGTCTGTGTAAACAGCATCTTACTTCCTGTGAGAACAAGTGTACTGGCTGCCTTGTGATCACTTAAAATATTTTATTGAGCATTGATTTAAAAAATGCAAGAGAAACGTGTGACACCTCAGGGCAAATGCTTGAAGGTAACCAAATGTCATTATAAATATTGCACTTTATAAAATCCCTTTCATATCTCCCTACAACTCAATTCTAGAATATCTTTCTACAGAGATGTATATTACAAGCTTCCAGCCGCCAGCGCTTCCTGCTGTCCCCTCCCAGGCAGTGGGTGGGAGGGTCCTCAGATATCTGCTCCTCACAGTGCAGGCTCAGAACTTCCACCAGCAGCACTAGGGGGTTCACACATCCCTCACGTGAGGACGAACTTGGCCCCGACTCTCAGAATGCTCAGCGTTAAATTGTACGGGGAGAACAGATCTTTCAGAGGTGATGAGCAAGGGCAGCCGAGTAACGGGGCTCAGGCTAACACTGCTTGTTCTTCAGGGCGTTCATGGGTTTCTGGTTCTTATTCTTGAACATCTTGACAAAACTGTTTGGCATGATTTTGCCACGCCCATCATCACCCACTTGTCCCATGATAATGTAATTTAGACCTAAAAGAAAGAGAATATAAAAATAAATGGTTTTTTTCCCTTTGTGTTCTTGACTAAAGGCGTCCTTCCCCATCAGAAGTGGGCAATGTGTTAGCCTTGAGTCTACGTCCCTACACCAGCCCCTCCCTGGACAGGTCCATGACTTGCTCAGAGGCGGTCTCCTTCCCCTCTCTGCTTCTGAGCAGGGAAGAGGCGACAGCTCCATCCTTACCTCTCCTGAGAAGTGGACACTGCTTGCAGACCACCGTGAGCTTGACACTCATGTTCTTGCCTGCCTGCTGAATGGCCAGGTTGCCCTCCCTGTAGATGCTGATGATTGAGACTGTGGCCAGCAAACTGCCACCTCGAGTGACCGTAGTGATGACTGTGCCCGCTAACACTGTAGAGGGCAACGGACAGTGAAGGCAGATCCAAACAGAGCGAATATGATTCTCATTCTTTTACGTTTCAGAAATGAAAATGTAGTGTCAAAGAGTTCTCAAAATCGGTCGCTAAAATACAGGTTAGAAAATGATTGTGGAGCTACAAGGCCATGCTTGGGTGTTGCTTCCCAGGAGAAAAATCTAGCTGCTTTCCCAACGGCAATCTGTGGCTGAGATGGAGACCCTCTTAAAATGTTCTCTCTACCATGTGGATAGATTGCCACTTAAAGGATAGAGTTATGAGCCTTACTTGTGAGTACTTAGCAAGCCTCTTTATCTCATTTAGAAAATTGAAGTAGAGAGCTGAGCTATAACTTAAAACAAAGAAAGAGCTGTGTACTTGGACTAGCGCTCCCTAATATAACCAAAAACTGTCCCCAGGGAGTGTTTCCTTCCACAGCTCAGAACTCACTGTCCCTCAGTGATAATGTCTGGTCACTGTGCTATCTATGTGAGTCATAGACAATAGGCTAAATCTAGTTTTAGACATAGGTCACAACGCCTCAGGGCAGTGTGAGCCCCCAATGTTATACAATACACCAAGCTCCTAAAATCAGAATTCCTAGCACATCTTCCTTTGATTACTGGTGATGTAGATCCATTGCAAAATGTCAGTCTGTAGCCAAGGGAGATGAGGTGGCGGGGGGGAACCTCCCAATGCACAGAAAGGCAATTCCTCTCCGGTCTCCCACAGAAGACTAACCCAGGTGTGGCTGCAGATGCACCTGGCAATATTTGCTTACATTTCTATGCAGTCATTTGAACTCAGCATGAAAACTGTAGTGAAATCCACCCCTTCCCTGCAAGCCAAGTCCCTGGGCTGCAGAGTTACCACTTAGGGCACTGAAAACGAACCGGAACGCTTGCTTTTGAGAACCTGGCTGCAGCATCTTTCTTTTCCTGGTAAGATTAAATTTGGCATCTTTTGTTCTCGAGTGCTTTTCACGATGATGCAAGTTTCTAATTAGGAAAACCCCTTAGAAACCCCAGGCACCTGAGTACTCCCCCCTTCAGGGTCCAGTTTACAAGAGCTTCAAATGGATGGCAGATTTTCACATTTTACCTGAGCACTTTGGAAACACATGGCTGAGAAGATACTTGCACTTCTTTTTGGGAGAGGCCAGCTTTTGAATGTGAGCTTAACTATTTAATGAACCTAAGCTGAATCCCAGATGTGAGAAAGTCGTTCTCGGTGGACGAAAAAGAAAGTATGATGGAAAGACTATACAGGCTTTTTCACGAAATCAGCCAGAATACATAGAGTAGCAATGTAAGGTACCAAGAGTCAACTTATTAAACCGGTGTGGGGAAAAGGGGGGGCACTGTTTCTAAAGCTTATTCTTCTTGCTGTGAAGCCACACAGTTCAAAGAGCACAGGTGTACACACTCTGGTGGGCAGGACAATGGTACCGTAGGTAAATGACTGGTGTTGCTGAACCGCCACCAGACAAGTCATGGGAGTGCCTTTGAGATTAAGCATAGTCTCAAGTTTCTCATTAGAGAGAAAGGCTGGTTTCTGTTTCTTACCAAAGTTGCTTGAACAATAATTGCTCTCCAGAGTCCCCGTCCGTCTACACTTTTGCTGACACAAGGCCACAGTGGGTTTTAAACCTAATTCAAAGAAGAAATTCAAAGAACGGAGTCAGGAGATTCAGGAGAATGAATTCAAGTATAATTGGTGTTTATATCAGAGTCTAGTCAGTTGAGATTACCGTTTATTTCTCTGAGCCACCAACCCACCACTGCAATGAAATAATTATGAACCACACAAGACAAATTCTTCATGCTATCAGCTACTGTTCTTTCTCACAGGAACTCAAAACTCTCTACTGAATTTTAAACCTGAGATCAAAGATAATCCGCATTTAGCCTCGTTCTCTTCTCCCTTTGTATCGGCGGTTCTCAACCTTCCTAACGCTGCGACCCTTTCACACAGTTCCTCGTGTCGTGGTGACCCCCAGCCATAAAATTATTTTTGATGCTACTTCCTAACTGTAATTTTGCTAGTTATGAATCATGATGCAAATATTTGGGGAGGCAGAGGGTTGACAAGGGGTCGTGACCCACAGTTTTGAGGACCAATGCTTTCTACGAACCCCACACCATAACAGAATTGACCTGTGGGTCCAGCTTAGGGAAAACAATCAAACAAACAAGAAAGCAGCCCCACAAATCTGAACTGCCAGAGCACAGGTTAATTCTTCACTAGAGGATTCCATGGTGTTCTCACAAGGGCAAGAGGAGTTTTCTTGGTGTAAATATGTAAACAGTTCTTGCTTAAAATAGGCAGCTATCCAGATGTCACTGGTGCAGGGACTTAGGGAGGCTCCTCACATGTAAAGTGTTAGGTTTGACGCCAGGAATCATTGAGTATTTATTTTGAACCCAGTATTGGCTTTAAGAATCTCAAGGGCTGAGATGTAACAACACAGTTATCAGTTCCATCCATTAAGAGTCACAAGTTAAAAGTAAAACTAGACACGACCACAGTTGTTCTCAACTGATGGTAACTTTGTTCTATGGGTGACATATGATGGTCGTAGGAACCATTTGTTCTAACTAGGGAGGCCACAATGGCATCTAGTTCACAGCTTAAACTGTGCATCTGTGCTGGCTGGGTTTTGTCACACCCTGACACAAACTGAGACATATCTGGGAAAAGACAATCTTAACTGAGAAAATGCCTCCATAAGACTGGAACGTAGACGAGTCTGTAGGGCATTTTCCTGATTAATGATCACACACTGTGGGTGGTGCCATCCCTGAGCTGGTGGTTCTGGGTTGTATAAGAAGGCAGGCTGAGCAAGTTTCGGAGCAAGCCAGTAAAGCAGCACCCCTCCATGGCCTCTGTGCCAGTTCCTCTCCTGACTTTCTTAGATGGTGAACTACAAGCTGTAAGATGAAGTAAATTCTCCCCTCCCCCAACTAGCTTTTGGTCATGGTGTCTTAGCACAGCAACACAAACCCTAGACTGCATTGCAGCTCATGCGGGGTCCTGTAAGTGAGTGTGGGGATCGCAAAAAGTTTGGCAATGCTAATAGGTTCCTGTATGCATAATGGCCAAAAACTAATTCAGTTTCAGAAACCAGGTGTCTGGATCCGAGGTGTTCGTGGCGGTGCTGGTCTATGCTGCACTGTGAGCTGCCGCCTTGGTCCTGAACACAGCGCTCCGTTCAGCAGATGGTCAGGCCCCATTACACCAGCCGACACTGCCTGAAACACCTTGGTTCAGATTCCAGACTACTGCATGGGGGCGGCCGTCACATTTTTACTCTATCTACGAAGTTTCCCACCCTGACAGAAACACCGAAATTAATTTCTCCAGGGGAGTCTCACTGGGGAAACAAACTCTTCTTAAGGATAGGCTGTATGCCCAGCAGTAGTCTGTCAACAGAAAACAAACTCAACAGCATCTTTGGAGGTTGTCTCACAATGTTACACCAGAGCATTTTTTTTAACCTTACAGATCCTTTGTGTATATACTACAGCTTTTGTTTTTTTATGGTTTTGGTTTTTTATAGGATTCCTGTGTGTGTCTCTGAATCTATATGTACTTCTTGTGCCTGTTCTTTGGCTTTTTTTTTTTTTTAAAAATTTATTTATTGATTATGTCTACACTGTTCTGCCTGCGTGCATGCCTGCACACCAGAAGAGGGCACCAGATCACATTATAGATGGTTATGAACCACCATGTGGTTGCTGGGAATTGAACTCAGGACCTCTGGAAGAAGCAGCCTATGATCTCAACCTCTGAGCTCTCTCTCCAGCCCTGGCTCTTTTTCTTCAACATATTTGCTTTTTTTAATTCAGCAACATCTTGGTAGGAGGGATCCCTGTCATTCGTGCTCGTTAGTTCTTTGTCAACTGTCAACTTGTGTCACAAGCTGGAGTCATCCGGGAAGTAAGAACCTCAGTTGAGAAAATGCCTTCATCAGACTGACTGTAGGCAAGTCTCTGGAGGCAAGTTTTTCTTTTCTTTGTTATTTTAAGTGTATGAGTGTTTTGCCTGCATATATATATATATTATATATATATATATATATAATATATATATATATATATATACCACATGTGTTCCTGGAGCCCAGAGAGGCTGGGAGAGGAGGTTGGACTCCCTGGAACTGGAGTTACAAAGAGTTGTAAGCCACCATGTGGTTGCTGGGAGTCTGACCCAGGACCCCTGGAAGAGCAGCCAGTACTCTTAACCTATGATCCATCTAGCGTTTTTTCTTGATTAACGATTACGCAGGAGGGCTCAGCCCACTATGGGTAGTGCTGGGCAGGTGGTCCTGAGTTGTATTAAAAACAAAACAAACAAACAAACAAAAAACAAGCTGAGGAGTCATGGGAAGCAAGCCAGTAAGCAGTGCTCCTCCAGGGTCTCTGCCTCAGTTCCTGCCTCCAGCTTCCTACCTTGAGTTCCTGCCCTGACTTCCCTCGGGGATGGACTGTTACCTGGAAGTGAAAGATGAAATAAACCCTTCCACCCCAAGTTGCTTTTGGTCAGTGCTTTACCATGGTAACAGACAGCAAAATGGAACATCACTGTTCCAGGAGTGCTAGGCTCACTGGGGCACTAAACTTCCCTAACAACTCGGGAAAAACTCAGTGGCAAATGGGATGAAGGAAAGCATCTTTCCAGATGAACTGTGGGAAACCAGCTCCTTTTCAGCCTGGGGACATCTGTTGGGAGCTGGGTGGGTGCCTCACTCTGCTGCTTCCTATCTTTCCATGCACCTCTGCCCTCTGCTCTTTGAGTCATAGGCTACACCACTCCACCTACTGGTTTTGTTTACTCTTTGGGGGCCTGCCACCAGCTCCCAAATAAATACACAGAGACTTATTCTTACTTAGGAATACCTGGCCTCAGGCGGCCTTTCTAATACAAATTATCCTGCTTCTCTTTAACTATGGTTTGCCTCTAGGCTTCTTACCTTTCTTTATTCTCTATATATCTTTCTTTCCTTCTTACTCTGTGGTTGGCTCTGTGGCTGGGTTGGCTGGTCCCTGGTGGCCTCCTCTCCTTCTCCTCTCACTCCTTGCTCCAGCCTGATTTCTCCTATTTGTTCTCTCTGCCTGGCAGCCCCATCTATTTCTTTCTCCTGCCTAGCTATTAGCTGTTCAGCTCTTTATCAGGAGTTTTAGACAGGCAAAGTAACACAGCTTTACAGAGATAAACAAAGGCCACATAAAAGAATGCAACACATCTTTGCATCATTAAACAAATATTCCACAGCATAAATGAATGTAACACATCTTCAACTAATATTCCACAACAATCTCTGTTCTTTATCTCAATTTCTGTACTCATAAACGTAGGCCCTGGCTTTTACACTTTCTCCCTATGCATTCGTATACCATCTTCAAGGGATCTACCATCTTCATGGATGATCCCTCAGGGGTCCACCATTTTCATGAATGATCCAGTTTCAGCTTCATTAGGGGTTATCCCTTGGTCCATCTGCCACTCAAACCCAGGCTCACATGTCCTCACGCAAAACCACATATTGCTGATCTCTTAAACGGCAAATTTAGGCATCCTAATATCCAGGGTGGCCTCCTTTCTTTCAGACTCATTTGGTTAATCTAATGGCTCCCCTATCCCAGCATTGGAGGGTCAGTGCTTTGACATGGTCCCTAGCCAATCAACCCTAGCTTGCTTTGACTTGCTTAGTTATATCACTTGGTTTCTACAGTCTGTTTTTCGGTCAATCATTTTCACTACAGTCATTTAAATTGTCCCGTTCCCTCTCTCAACCCCCGGAGGTCCTGCAGGAGAACGCTCTTTTTGGTGCCCGCAGTCACGTCATCTGAGTCACAGAGGTGCACCAGAAAGTGACAGGCTCCTGCTAATTCAACCGACTTCCCATTTCCACAGCGATTTCTCAGATTTTCACTCTCCTAGCTGCTAGTACTGCCACTTACCTTCTCTGCCTCAGCAGGTGACCCTGCCTATGTTCAGAGGGAACAAAAGTCACAGCAGAAAATGTCCTTGATGTCTCCACTGACCCTCAAGGCCACCTCACCCACATACTCTCTTGCTTTGCTTCTCTTATGGAGGAGGCTACCCTCTCTGGTTCAATCCTTTTGGATATGGAGTATGTAGTCTTTGTGACAGGCCTTTCCACCCCTGTCCCTTCTGTCCCCTGCATTCCTTAGTCACTGTATCACACTGGCATTAATGTGTTCGCCTCTCAATCCCTTCTCTTTTCTTTGGGGACCAAGAATGTGCTATGAGTTGCTAGAACTTTCTCTTCCTTCATTTTGATCCACATGGTCCCCACCCTATCCTGGCTTCTGCCTGCATTGCATCACTTATAAAGCTCCTGATCATGGATTAAGAACAAACATTTTAATCCTTCCCATATGGTCTCATCAACAGGAGACGCACTGACCACCTCTTCAAAAGGCATCTTCTTCCAGGACCTGGTCTACGGATGTCCTTCCTCTACCTCCTCTACTAAGGTTAGAGTTCCTCAAACGTTTGTTTTAGCTTCTTCTTCTCTGTACCAGAATCTCTCCCAAGGTAGATACTTCCCCTTTTTTAAAAAATTCACTTATTTTTATGTGTATGAATATTGTTACCTGAAAGCATATATGTGCAGCACATGTGTGTCTGGTGCCCTTGGTGGTCAGAAGAGGGGGTTGAATTCCCTGGAACTAGAGTTATGGATGGTTGTGAGATACCCTGTGGGTTCTGAGAATCAAATCAAGCCCACTGGAAGAACAGGTATCTAAACTACTGAGCCATCTCTCCAGCCCTAGAAGTCCCATTGCATATACATGACCCTTAACTCTGCATACAGCTCCCTCTCTGGCCCAGAGGCCCAAATGTCTGCCTGTAAGTGTCATGAATGTTTGGGAGCTCACTGCAGTCCACATTTGCAGTTTTAGAGAAAGTTCAAATTGGAGCGAAAAGCCAGAAAGCCACCAACACCGTGGGTCTGTCCAGATAGTTCACTACACAAGGCAATGCCCAGCCAGGTCACAAGGAGGCCAGTCTGTGGAGTGCTCGGAGAAAGTAATACTTGTCTAGATTCTTTAGGTTTGCTCATTTTGTTAAGCTTTAACTATTTGGATAAACTAAGTCAGACAAAAAAAAAAAAAACCCTGTAATATTCTATAATGGTAAAGTTTGCTGCATTTGTGGTTTATTTTGATGCTAAAGGATCTTCAATTAAATCTTCAACTCAAGTTTTTAAAGCTCAAACTTAACAGGGATAAAGCTGTAAAATCCTGACCTTACATAAACTATAACTTGTAAACTATTCATTTGGTAAGATGCTTTATTTAGCCTCCAGGGCACGCCTGTGTTCTGGACAACCCTATCGGAGGAGGGCAAAAGCCTATGTATGCTATTATCTGCCACTTTAATCCTCACCCTAACTTGAGGCTTCGAATCTGAGTTCCTGAATTCCCACAGGGTGGAGCAGTTAGGCCACAGAGACCAGATACCAGGCCCCACTGCCTTCGATCATGACCCCACCACTGTCCGCAGCTTCCGTAATTAGTGAATATTTTTGCTTGGTCCACTCTATATTGACATCTTCTGACACACGAGAGGAGACCAAATCTGAAAACTGGCTGTTGTTAAAAGCCGGCAGGTATCACGGCCCTAGAACAGTAACCTAAAATAGCATTGTATGTAATAAAATGAAAACTATAGGAAGAGAGAAGGGAGAGGGAAGAAAAGGTGACCCAGGACTACAGTCGTCTAATTACATTAAACAGGAGGAATGCTCTAGAATCCAACAGCACTGTAGCGGGACTACGTAATTCATTGTATTATATACAGTTAAAGTAGTAAGTTTCAAAAGTGTGTACTTCCTATGGGGAGGTGTGTATGCAGAGGCTGGAGGGCAACTCTGTAGGGTCAGCTCTCTCCCTCCACCTTTATTCGGGTCCCAGGGCACAAACTCAGGTACCACCCTTACATAGCAGAAAAGGTGTGCACCCTTACGCCTTTTCCTGCCGAACCTCCCCAGCCTGTATTACATGTTCTAAGAACCAGAAGAGATGAGCTCAAATCTGAGATAACAAATACTTAAGGAGACAGAAATGCCAATTACTCTGGTTTGATCATCGTGCCCTGTGTGCATGGATCAAAGACTATAGACCACACATATGTGCAATCATTATGTTAATTTAAAAAAAAAACAATGAAGGGAACAATTTTGCCATGTACCAGTAAAGGAACCTTGGGTTTATAAAGACAGTGTTTATATTATAATCAGCCTCCTTGTGCGTAATTATTAGGTGGCCCTTGTTTTTTTTCCTATGGCTAATGCAAACCACTAATTGGTAAGCATTCTTACCTGCTTTTCTTTTATCCATGAAATCTCATTAATCGTCTCACACAAGTTTTCATCTAGTTATTTCTGTTTCCGGTACCTTCTTATTTTGCCTTAAAATAAGAAGAATTTCTACTTCAAAAGAATTCTTTTTAGAATTCTAAAGTATTTGTGCCAACTTGCAAACAGCAGAACTTACCCGTAGTTATGGGGACCGTGGTGGTAACAGGCATGGCTGTAGTTGTGGGAAGTTTTTTCGGCCTGAATTTGTAGTGACTAATAAATCCATCTGCTGTTAAACTTAAGTCTGATAAAAACTGAATGAGAAGTTCATTTCTCTCAGACACGATTGGCCTAGGAGAGAAACATATTTACAGTTTACGTGGCACCTCTCTGAAAATGTCAAAATCTTCCAGCTTTCTTTCATGGTTGTTATTGTTTTTTTTTTGAGACAGGGTTTCTCCATGTAGTCCTAGCTATCCTGGAACTTGCTTTGTAGACCAGGCTGGCCTCGAACTTTGCTGCCTAAGAGAGACCTTCCTGCCTCTGCCTCCCAAGTGCTGGGACTAAAGGCATGCACCACCATGCCTGGCTAAAACTTCTAGCTTTCATATTTGTTTTTGACAACAGATTAGCAACTTGTTATAAACCTAAAATGCTAAAATGCAAAACACTTGAAAAAAAATGAAAGTCCCAACACCCCACCTTCACAAGGGCCCCATCTGTTATCATCCTCTTTGTGTAGAATGGGCAACTGAACCTAGAATTCAGTGACCTTCCCAAGGTCCTGCGGTCAGCATGTGGGAACCAGGATTTGAACCTAGGGCCCAGTGACTCTAGAAACAGTGAAAGATACTGGGACCAGTGTGAGCACTGGTGTTATGGCTCTTCCCACAAGTCCCCAAGGCTATGCCTGACTTGTGAGTCTAAACTAAGTCTGTGATTCACACCAGCTGCTGGTAGTGGAGAATCTGAGGGACAGCTCTAATGACAGAGGGCTCAGAGAGACCACATCTCGTTTTTAAAGGGAGGTCTAATGCCTGCCTGCAAAGGCGACATTTCTGTTTCTAATGCCCGTCAGGGAAATGAGGATAAGAAAGAGAGCAGGCGACTACTGATTGGTAGTCATGACACCATGAAGAGCTCCAGCACTAGGAACTTGTTGGTGAGCTGAAACTACAGGTTAGAGATGATGCTAAGTCTCGAAGGCCCTCTGAATCTTGGAGAATAATTGTACGAAGTGTCAGTTTCACTGAACTTGCTATTATTTCCTAAACAATGGTGGCAATGCTGTTTGGCTAATTTTATTTAAGAACTAATTCCTAAGTAGGAAAAGATTAAACAAGTTATTTGATTGAATCAGTCAGTGATCTGATGAAAGTTCTTTTCTGGGGCATCCCTCCGGTCAAAGCATTTGAGCCCGGACAGTCCATCATGAGCAGGTCACTTCTGTACCATCTGCTGTGAGCAGGCAGATCCATACTGGAACGGACCAGTTGGAGAAATCGTGGACTGCCTCTGTCTTGACAATAACCTTTTGAAGCGAGAGTAGGGTGAATGGAAGGAGCCTCATGACCTACATCTGTACTTCCCATCCCCAAAGCAGCTAGGACATGTAAATGATGCTTCAGAGATTCGAGCTTTAAACAGAAATATTTTAACTTCCTTATGAAAAAATGAAATAAGTTGGGTGGTGGTGGCGTACACCCTTAATTCCAGCACTCAGGCAGCAGAGGCAGGAAGATCTCTGTGAGTTCGAGGCCAGCCTAGTCTACAGAGTGAGTTCCAGGACAGTCAGGGCTACACAGAGAAACCCTGTCTCAAAAAAACAAAACAAAACAAAAAAAAACATGAAATAAAATTTTAAAACTTTCCTGTACACGATTCTCACCTACAATTACAAACAAAACCCGCTAATCTTGTTTAAATGATAAATTGCAACAAGTCCGTCCTACAGGAAACAATGGAAGTCCAGTCAGGCTGGCCTTCTACACAGGCACACGTCATTCTGGTGACCCATGCCCTGACTCTTCTTCAAACTAGCTGGGAGACATTGGATCAGAAACTGATTTTTTTTTTTCAAGGAAGAGTGTGTTAGTAACAGAAGTAGACTTTTGTTGTGGTGCTTTGTGGAAATGTAACAGGACCACAGTGCCCTGAGGACCAAGTGCTGCATCCACAAGCTGATGTGATGAATAATGAGGAAGGGAGACGAGATCTCACCCAGACATGGGCCAAGAAGCTGAAAGCTAATGACAAATCCAGAGGGTGTATCTGATGGAGACGTGCTTGAGGCCTGGCTTCTCCCGCGGCTACCAAGTTAGTATGGCTGAGCTAGTGACAGAGACAGTGTGCAGAAATAGAGAAAATACATTCTCTGCAGCCAAAATGGATGCTGGGAGCAGAAAAAGTCACAAAATCATTCAAGGTGGTTGAGCAGTAGGTTTCTGTTTGTTTTTTCTTTTGTTTTCCTATGAGGTGGGAAAGAAGTATGACCTGATCAGCTGTATGGGGTTCTGGACAGTCTCGAGGGGAGACTGGGGACAATAAGGAATAAAATGATGGCAAAAGGAAAAAGTCAAAGCTGTGGTCGGGGTGCTGCAGGGGCTGATGACCCAGGCCAGCGGCTTTATTAGGATCGCAGTTCCTTATATACCCCTCTCTAATGGGGAAGCAGAAAAAAAGGCATAAACATGAGCCAGCAGAATTACGGGGAACCCAGAATAGTTCAAGTTCCCCTTTAGCGAGGTACATTCTGGGGCAGCAAACAAAGCATTTCACATCCCAGTGTCTGGAACATTTAACCACATACATGTAGGGGTGGGGGCGGGGCACGTCAGATGCCAGTTCTCAGACTACTCCCGCCAGACCCTCACCTCAGTCTGTAGCTGGCCTTGCTTGGCAATGACTCTGGCCAGATGAGGGGCAAAATGCCCACATCCCGTCATCAGGGCTGATGGGCAGTCGCCAATCCAGTCTAGCCCCTAACATAAGTCAATATGGTTTTTCTCCAGAGTTCTGATAAACACCCGAGGAATAGGAGGTGTTTCAACACTACACAGATCCTCCTAGGGAAATAAGCCCCTGGCCTTTTCTCTTTTTCTCGGGAGTTCCCATTCTTCCCGATGCCTGAGTTCCCTTCAGCGGGGCTGTGACGCAGGTGAAGCACTGCCCCTGGGGACCATCAGCCCTGCCTCTATATGTCCATGTGGCTGCTGGACTCCAGGTTTGGATGCCTGGTCTTTGCCGCTGCTGGTGGACAGGGCTCCACTGTTATGGGACCCAAAACTTTGCCAACAAACAAGAGCATAAAGTTTTCCAGAACATAAAGGCAAGTAGGGAGATTAGTAGGACGGAGGTTTAGAGTCATTAAAATATTAGTGACACAAACAGGCACTACTTACGCGGGTGGACTGTCACCACAGTACTTTCCGATTCTTTTGGCATCGTTGACTTCTCCACCGTTAAACACAGCCACGTAGTCGTATCGGCAGTAGTTATCACGCTCAACATCAAACTTCTCAAACTTTAACTCTATAAGCTTCAGGAAAAGCACGGCATGGAAATGTCAGTAACCTGAATCGCCTCAAGTGGAGATCCCCCTTGTAATTGGTGCTGGAGATCTCTTATGGCAACTATAAATAATAATCATGCACACTTGAACGTTGCAAAGAACCTAGATTTTACATGTTGTCAGTGTGTACAACCACAAGTGTTAACTACGCTAAGTGAAGGATATGCTAATTAGTTTAACTGTAATATTTCACAGTATATGCATCGCCAAAGCATCACTCTATATACTGTAGGTAGATACAATTTTTATTTGCCAACTATACCTCAATAAAGATAGACAGAAAAAGAATAAAAAGGGGGGTTCTATCTGGATAACTGGGTGTGTGCTGGGGTGATAAAGGGATCTGTATACCAAATCCATTCTTCTCTGGGAAAAGAATTAGCAAAAATCAAAAGTAATATCTAAGATGTTCCCCATATTATATTACATCTGCGTGTGGTATGTGTGCATGGTGTGCATGGTCACAAGATGTGTAGGTTTCTCCTTTTGAGAGAAGACAAACATTCTAATCACATGTAAAGGAGTCAATTTGGGGCTGAAAGTTTCGGGGACGTGGGAACAGACTAGAGTTGCTAAAGAGGGGTGCACACACCGTGTACACATGCCAAGCACAGTCACGTGGGGTATGGCTGAGTTTTGAAGAGGTTTCATAGAGGCATCATACACAAAGTGTGAGTATTAAAAGTTTCCTCTTTTTTTCTTTTTTTGCTCTAGTACTAAGAATAGTGTCCTAAATTATTCACGTGAACAACACATTTTAATTTTATAAGCCACCACTATCCCCCTTACAAGCAGTTTTGTTAGGAACATTTTCAGTATGTGAATCTAAAAAAATCTCCCTGGGTCATTAACACCCATGGCACTCAGCTGCTGTCCAGTCTTGCTGGGCAATTAGGTAGCCAGGGACCCTGTCTGTTAATTCATGGAGGATTGTGGAAATTAATTCCCACTAGATGAAGGGTATTCATTCCCAGCTCAAGAAGATGCTTGCACATTAATCTGAGCAAAGGTACTACAGCTGTATCACAGTTGGACAGAGAGGTCAATTTTGATTGGCTCATAAGTGCTGTACATGTAGATATTTACCTGCCTTTAAGAAGCCAGCGTCTATGGTGCGGGGGAGGGCGGGGGTACTGCCTTGCTCATGCTAAAAATTGCTTTCAACTATGTTTAAAAATCTCCTTTGGGGAGCCACTGAATTTTCATCAGCAACTAATAAAATATTTTCCATTTAAAAATTGGCTGAACTTTCTTGCCCTGAAAATTAAAAAGCTTTTGGAGAGGAGATTAAAAGGAACTGGGAGGAGAGAGGGGAGGGCTGTGACAGAATCCAGAGGTCGCGCTTTTGAAGAGCATTCCGTAGACTTGCACAGAAATTCCTCAGGATCCAATCTTCCTGCTGTTTTTCCTCTTTGGACCGAATGCCCCAGGGTTCCAAATACCGCGATGCTGGTGACAAATTTAACTAAGTGAAACAAAACAAACCCGAAACTCCAGGGTCGTGGGGGAAAGACCATGAGAGAAGATGCGGGACTGAAATTTGGAAGCTAATAACATTGACCTTATTTGGTCAGCTATATTAATGTCATGGACAAATGGTCAACGCAATTTCAAGAGTTACATAATGGTTTTAAGTATTTCAAAAATGTACTTTTAAATATTACTATAAACTGTAATCCCTTCAACAGACGTGTAGTTTTTCACTGTTAAACAAAAGGATACATTTCTGGTCTTTAAATGAAGACTGGGTTTTGAGATAGGGTCGCAGTGTGGACGTCTGCATTTGTGTCTATGTGTGTGTTCACCTCAGTGACTTGCAGGGTGTTTTTGCCTGGATCGTAATTGATGTTAAAAGCAAACCTGTGGCAGGTATCGTGGGGCTGTAGAGATGGCTCAGCGGGTAAGAGCACTGACTGTTTTCCAGAGGATGGGAAACCTCTCTCCCAGCACCCACATGGCCTTTCACAGTGATCTGTAACTCCCATGCCCAGGGAAGCAGATTCCCACTCCAGGCCTCCCCAGGCACCAGGCACACACGTGGTGCACAGACATGCATCAGACAAAATACTCATACACAGAAAATAAAAAATCAATCAATCAAATAATTTAAAAAGCAGTGTTGTGATGTTCAGAGAGTGTTTAGACTAAAGTCAGTAGTGTTTGAAACAAGAATAATTTTACAAATTTATTTTTTAAGATTTCCTATAGCAAGATCCATCCATTCCTGAATCAAATTCCGTCCTATAATTGATATGCGGCGGTTCCTAGAAAGGGCAAAATTTCTTATAACCACATATTAATAAACACTGGAAAACTGGATTTCAGCTGATTGTTTTAGAGCAGTGGTTCTCACGACCCATATCAGATATTAACATTACTTTTTTTAACAGTAGCAAAATTACAGTTATGAAGTAACAATGAAATGATTTGATGGTTGGGGGTCAGCACGCCACGAGAAACTGTATTAAAGGGCTGCAGCATCAGGAAGGTTGAGGACCACCACTCTGGAGGAACAGATGAGGAATGGGCACACATTTTGTTTCAAACAACCCAACACTCAAAAGCTGACCCTCTATCACCGGAGATAGAGGGGGTTCCTCGAAGGCTCTGTAGCAGCTTGCTGCCTTTGTGGGAATGAGGGGTGCCCTGGACGAGGTGGACTGACCACATGAGCAGAGGAGATGCTGGGATGTGCCTGTGTCTGAGGACCTTCATACCCACGCTGCTAGGCGCTGACGCTTGCAGCCTCATGCTCTTTACATCTGCCCCAGGCCTACATAGTCCTATGCGGAATTTGCTTATAATTTGCATTTTCAAAACTGTTTTTGAAAGTTATAATTATATAATGGAAAAATCAAATCTATATCTTTGCAAGTCAAAGAGTGCCAAGGGCAACTTTAGCTTGGGTCTTCGTAAGAAGAAGTCCTGGTGTCCACCTGGGCTTTCCCAGAGGCAAGGCTCACACTGTGAGCGATTCACACATACTCACTTTCATCACATTCTCTGGAGCCTCACCTGGTTCTTCGGGGCTACGATGTGCCACACACAAGTAACTCCTACAGGGTAATCTCGATCTGGCCAGTTGGGGGTTTTAAAAGAGCCGGAAGGTTTTTCAAGGCGTCCTCCACAGTACCTGTCTCCTGAAGTCATTAAACATGAAAAACATACAAGTTCATACCCTAACATAGGTCATAGTAGTACAATCACCCAGAGGTTAGGAATGAGAACTTTAGGGATATCACAACATATCAAGGCAATGGTAGGTGCTGTTCAGTTTCCTCTTTAAAGAAATGATCACACAATCTGCTCTACACATCTAATTTGTTTGTTTTTGAGATGGTCTTACATCTCAGGCTAGCCATGAGTGCACTACGTAGCTGAGTCCGGCTTTGGTCCTCCGCCTCCACCTCCACCTCCTCGTGCTGTGATAACAGACACGTTATCCCCACAGCCAGTTCCCTGAGGACTGACTGTGTCATGTCTGAGGAAGGAGTGGACTCAGAACCAACCACGGCATTTCTGTTGTCAATTTTCCCCTCTTTCTGAACAAAACATGCCACTCATTCTGAATTGCAGACAGTGCAATGAATCAGTTTCTAAGAATTCTCAAGGCATTGGTTCATTTGTTATTTATTAAAGTCCCATGGACAAAATTCAAATTAACTATTATAGACAGTTTTCATTACGAATATCTAGTATTCTCTCTCTCTCTCTCTCTCTCTCTCTCTCTCTATATATATATATATATATATATATATATATATATATATATATAATATATATATACACATATATATGTGTGTGTGTGTGTGTGTGTGTGTGTACATACACATATCCACTATATAACATCTAGTAACACTTAGTTGAACCCAGTTGGTAAAGTGCTGATGAGGACCTGAGTTTGAATCCCAGAACCCAGGTCAAAATGCCAGGCATGGTAGCATGTGCTCGTAATCCCAGCACCGGGGAGGTGGGGGGAGGCACATAGATCCTTGTGGCTCACTGGCTAGCCAGGCTAGCACAGCTGGCAAGCTCCAGGTGCCAGTCTGAGAGCCTACCTCAGAATCAAGGTGGAGGCTTCTAGGGAGCAATACCTGAGGCTGATGTCTGTCTTGCACACACAGAGGCTCATATGACTGTGCACCCCCATACCCACACAAAAGTGTGTTTATAAACTTCCAGCAGTACAGGAAAGCACACAAGTGAAAAAAAATTACCCCAATCCCACCACCTAAAATCGACCACAGTTAACATTTAATGACTCTTAATGTAGACACTGGAGGCATGTACTGCGTATATATTGTTAAGTCAAGGAAATAGTTTGAGCAGTCTAATTAGATATAAATTTGGATACAAATTTAATTTCACTTCGATTTAACTTACAAATAACTGAGTTGAGACTAAAGGAACAAAACCTTCCTTTGACACGGAAGACTCTAGAAAAAAATGTTTAAATTTAAGAAATCACACTATAAGAATTGAGTTTAGAATAATTTCTAAACGATGAGCGAAAACCTCAAGCATTTAAAGTGAACAGACTATAAAGTTCTCTGTGTCTCTGTTCTCTGTGTTCTGTGTGTCACCTGTTGTCAACAGTTATATGTTTCCTGTTTTCTCTGTCGCTACCCAATCCCCCAACACCTGCTTCACTGTTTTATTAGTGTTCTCATTTCACAGGTTTGAGGAGGTAAATTCACAAATCTTAAGCTTTACGTGACTGGCAAATGGATTGCACCGGTGTGAGCCACACTCCTGAGATAACAGAGAATCCATCTCTCACAAACCTCCCATCATGCCTCTCTTCTGAAAAACCTTCCACCACAGTTTTATTGCAGAGCTTTGTATAAATTGAGTCGTGCAGGGGCATCCTTCTGGTCTTCTGTTGCTCATCGTGATGTCTGAGAGGTTTCTCCATGTGGCTGTCGTCGTGGTTGTACTTTAGACTTCTGGGTAGTATCCTACCGTATGCAGACTCTGCAATTTGTGTGCCCATTCTTCTGCTGGTGTTTATTTGGGCTTCTGTCTTTCTTTGATATGTATTGCTGTGATAAACAACTTGGGTGGGTGGGGGTGAGGGAACTCTGGGATTTTATTTGGCTTACATGTTCGAATCGCAGTCTATGATGAAGGGAAGTCAGGGCAGGAACTGAAGAAGAGGTCATGGAGGAGTCCTGCCTACAGGCTTTCTCCCCAAGGTTTGCTCACCTGCTTTCTTATACAATCTAGGACCACTAGCCCAGGGATGGCACCGCCCATAGTGGGCTCGGCCCTTCCACATCAATCATTAGTCAAAAACTTCCTCACAGACTTGCCTATAGATGGAAGCATTTTCTCCGTTCAGATTCCCTCTTTCCAGATGACCTCGGCTTGCGTCGAGTTGACAGAAAACTAACCCGCACGGGTTGTTTTCAGTTTAGGATATTGTTAGTGAGGATGTCTTTTTTTTTTTTTTTGCATATCTTTTTTGTTGATGTGTATTTTCACTTTTCTTGCATTAATACCTAAGAATGCATTGATGGGCCAGAATAGATACAGGTGTTTAACTTCACTAAATAATCAACACCACCAAAACTTCTCCTAGCACCAAAGAGTTTATTATCATTTTATACCTCTTGAGGAGCGAGATCAATGGTTACTCCCCATTCTTGTACCACACCATGTTATCAGATTTTTATCCAAAATAATGAGGAAGTAGTGGCATCTATCTCACTGTGATCGTTGAAAAAATTTTAAGATTTTATTTTTATTTTATGTGTATAACATATGTTTATGTGTACATTCAGTGTTTTCCTGAATGTATTATCAGTGCACCATGTGTGCAGTGCTCACAGAGGCCAGAGGAAGGCATCAGCTCTCCTGGGACTAGAGTTACAGATCCTGGTCCTCTGGAAGACCAGCCAGTGCTTTTAATCACTGAGCCATCTCTCAGCCCCTCACTGTCTTAATTTGCATTTTTCTGATGATTAAGGATAATGGCCATTCATAGCAGCCTCTGCGAAATGCTTGTACAAGTGTTTCACTCAGTTCGTATTTATTGAAATTCTTCTATTGTTGGGTGTTATTTCTATGTATTCTAAGTATAAACTGACAACTGTGGATATTTCCTCTAGTGGTGTGGATTGCCTGTTCATATGTGTAATGGTGTAATTGAATATGTATCTGTTTTCATTTTAATGAAGTTCACATGGTATATGGTTTTTTTCATCTTTTTACTTTTGGTCTATTTGGTCTTTGTATTTCAAGTGGTTTTTGATAGACAACATGTATCTGGGACCTGCTTTTAATCAATCATAACAATAACTTCCTTCTATTTTGGTGTTAAATCCCTTACAACTAGTGTATTTATGGATGTCTTGGGTTCAGTGTGCCCATTACTATTTTTTCAATTTGTTCTCACCTTTTATTGCATGTGTTCTTCCTTCAAGCTTTCTTTAAGTGGGGAATTTTGGTAGTCTATTTAAATCTTTTGTCTGTCAGTCATAGATCTCCAGGTTTTAATGGATGTTCGACACACTGAACTTATAACCTACACAGAGATCATGCTGAACATTTTTGTATGTGTGTGTGCACACGTGCATGTGTGTATGCATATGTGTATATGTGAGCGTGTATGTGTGTGTGTGTGTGTGTGTGTGTGTGTGTGTGTGTGTGTCTGAGGTTGTATCTAGCCATCCTTTGTTGTCAAATATAAGACATTATATCTTCCATAATACAGCGCTCATGTTTTAGTCATGAACACACATGAACAGAAATCGAAAGACAAACCTAATATGCGCTCGCCTGTGCTAACCACTCCCAGGGGGCGTCCTTCACTGCCTTCAGGTCAGCCCTGCTATGGTTTCCCTTGACGTGAGGTGCTGCCTTCAGCACTTCCCATGGCACAGATATAGAAATGTCCCGGAGATATTCATGGCACTGCTGGGAGTGCTTTCCCTCGCTGCCATCCTGCAAAGCTGGCAGTAGAGGATGCTTGGCATCTTCATTCCAGCACTTAAGGACACATGGCACTGCCCTCTGCTTCCTCTGCTTCCTCTGAGTCTTACAACAGAAGGCCAAGCCCAGTGTCTAGTTCTTCCTTCAGTCCATCTGCTTGGCATTAGGAATCTTATCCTTTGAGTTCTGCAATTCAATTATAATGGACTAAGCTTTTATATTTTTTTATTTTTATTTACTTATTTATTTTTTTGATTTTTTGAGTCAGGGTTTCTCTGTGTAGTTTTGGTGCCTATCCTGGAACTCGCTCTGTAGAGCAGGCTGGCCTCAAACTCACAGAGATCCACCTGGCTCTGCCTCCCGAGGGCTGGGATTAAAGGCGTGCGCCACCACTGCTCAGCTACTTTTTTATTTTTATAGTCCCTTTTTAATTTATCCTATTTAGAGTTTATTATCTTCTTGGCTGCATCAATTCATGTAAATCTGGGTGCAGCTAAGTCATTTTTTTTTACATTTTTGTTTCTGTACTGTTATCACTGTTTTAGAGATAAAACTTACATATCCATTAGGCAATTTGATACAGACCAATTCTCTGGTCTTTTGGTCTCCCTTTTCTTCGATCTTTTCTGTGCTGGTCTTTCAGACTTGTAACTTCTATTTATGGGGAACTGTTTCTGTAACCTGCACACTACTTATAAGATTGTAATTGGGTAAATTATAAGATATCAAATTCTGTATTTTCTAGCTCTAAAATCATCATCTTGTTATTTTTTACATATTTTCTGTTTCTTGTTTATATTTATTCTACAAACATTCCTTTTAAATCCTGAAACCTTTTCCCCCTCCTTCAATACTGGAAATTGAACCCAGAACTTTGCACATGTTAAGCAAGCATTCTACCGCTAGGCCACACCTCCACCCGCCCCGCCCCCCGCCCTGCCCCCAACAAAGAGTCTGTTCTGTAGCCCTGGCTGCCCCCTCAACTTGAAATCTTCCTTCCTCAGCTTCCTGGGTGACTGGGATTCAGGAAACAAATTCACATTAGCTGCTTAAAGTGCTGCTGGTAGTGAGCCATCCCTCCAACCTGTCTGTCTGTCTATCTATCCCCCAGACTTGCACTTGTCTCCTGTTGGTTTATTTCCCTACAGAGAAATCACCAGTGCACAAATATAGTAAGTAGCTCAATTGAAAACTGAAGCATTCATCTGTTACTTGCAACCTCTGATTTATGATGGGTTTTCTCCTGCCTTTTTCTTCACTACAGATATGCACCATGAATGGGCTGCATTATACTCTAGATTCTGTTATATTCCTATGAAAAATGATGATTTTTCTCCTAGTAGACATTTAGCTACACTTAAACAGTCTGTCTTCCTGGCAGTGGCCAGAGGCTCTAACCCTTGTTCAGGCCCTTGTCCCGAAATTGTAGTGTTTTGTTTTGTTTTTTAATGTGCATTGGTGTTTTGCTATGGGTGTTGGGTTCCTTGGAATTGGAGTCACAGAGAGCTGTGAGCGGCCATGTGGATGCTGGAAATTGAACCAGGTCCTCTGGAAGAGCCATCAGTGCTCTTAACTGCTGAGCCATCTCTCCAAAACCCCACCCCCAAAACTGTAGTTTTGCTGTCGAAGACGTGGGTAGATTTTCCGTGTATATTTGGAACTCCATGCTTCTGTCACACATGCTAGGATTCCTCCCTCACTGCTCCGGTGGCGCCGTCAGCCCCCAATCCTGTCTTCTGACTTCTCAATCTAGTTGTGTGGCACTATCACCCAAACCCAGGCCTGATGAGCAAGCAACCTCGGGCCGGGGCTTCAGAAATGCTGCCTGCTCCAGTCATCCTTCAAAGTGCCTCCTGGAGAGCTCCTACAAACTGACACGAAAATGTCCCAAGACACAGCGCTAAGTAAAACGAGAAAGTTACGAAATGATACGTGATGTCACGTAGGTTTTTAAAGAGTTGTTGTGAAAGTATATGAATGTAAGTAAACACGGAGAGAGAGAGACACAGAAACCATTGGTCATGCCTTTCTGGAGGATGAGGTAAAGTAGTGGCTTGTACATCTGTGAAGAAAAATTCAAGCTTCTCATTTAACTCTACGAATTTCTATATTTGACTTTTTACAAAAATATATATGGGCTTTTTAGAATGACCTCTTGGTGACTTGTTGACATTCCCTGGCTCTTTGAGAACTGCTATTGTGCTTTGAAAGAGGAAACACAAAGTTCCAAGAGCAGCACCTGACACACAGTAGGTAACGAATCCCCATGGCCAGCCATCACTCTTGCCACTGCTCCTGTGTGAAAACGGGTACCTTTTCCGTCTGGTGCAGCAGCAGAGAACGTGGCCATGAAGCCACTCCCGGCAGTGTTGGCATCGGAAATCATTTGTACCATCATCTTGTTGCCACTGGCTACAAGGGATCCAGGTCGGAATGTACCACAGAAGCGCCCGATGCGCTGGCCATTGGCATGGCCGTTGTACACGTCCACGAAGTCATAGCGACACAGGTTGTCGCTCTCAAGGTCTATGAATCGGAAATTCAGGACGACCACTTTGCCCTCGGGGACCTGACAAGAAAAAAAGTCAGATTAAAAAACTGTGTCAACGAAGCAACATCTGTGGCCGGTCAGCACTAAAGATAGCAGAGCACAGTATACCAGGCTGGAGTGCGCCTCTGTGCAGAGTCTGAGCACAGAACACAGGCCCGGGTGTGCCTCAGTGCAGAGTCAGAGTGCAGTGTACCAGGCCAGGGTATACCTCAGTGCAGAGTCTTTGCCTAGCCTGTGTGAAGCACTGGGTTCGATCCCAGCAACGCACACTCATAAATGAATAAGTAAATGACCCAAGGTGATTTTCTTCTCAGGGCTGAACTAAGCCAGGAAGAGTTCCCAGCACACTGCTTCGGAATAAGAACACACATCCTTACCGTCTGCTCAACAATTCTGTAAGACACATGACCCTATTCTGCAAAAGAATTTATCTCAACAAAGCCGTAGAATACTGGACTGATCGATCTCATTACCTGGTGTCACTGTTTATAAAGAATACCAGTTCTGACTGGTTTTATTAGTGTATATTTACATATTCTAAAATACTGTGCTACCCAGACATGTTGCTTGGCAAAGAAATATTTTGAAACATCTTTTCTTTTTTTGCAAATGAAACAAAAGACAACCTCACTATATAGTATGCTTCTGTCAAGTTCAAAAGTTAAGGCTTATTTAGCAATTGTACAGTTAATTTTCAGATAGTTCAATTGAGGCCAGGGAAAATATGAACCAAAATCTGTATTAAGTTAACTGGATACTTGTTGATTCATCTCTTCTAAAAAATCACTACGTTTTAAAACCTTTTCATTTGTTTCCCTGGGTGGAAAGTGTGTCTGTCGGGTGACCCTGAATCACTATGCACAGCAATTAAAAAGGTCATCTCTCCCCTTGTCATATTTTCTTCACTGAAATTTCTCCGTGTGATTCTTATGATGCTTCCTTCTTTGTCCTGTGAGGAGGAAGGAGAAAGTGTCTACAGAAGCATTCGGTGGGATCGCTGGCCGTCAGTCTGAGCCACGTGTCTTTACTTCCTGTATTCGGGTTGTTCTGCCCTGAAGTTCAGATCGTGTGCTGTGTCTCTTCAGCCACATGAGCTCACTGTCAGGATTTTCTTATGTAAAGACACACTCACGACACGACAAAGGACAAGGTTGGGAACGCATGCCTGCAAGCTTAAGCCGACTGGCTCTACACCCATCTTAACGGAGGGCCTCAGAACTGAAGGCCAGAGATACACTAACATTAACCTGGTTTCCCCAGGGCACGTTTTGTTTGACTACAGTAGAGTAACGTAATTTCAGTGTCACTTAATTTTTCTCTCAAACCCATATACAACCCACTGTGGAAACTGTAGTGGAAAAATCCCAAGAGGGGGGCATTCCCCTCCTTTCCCCTCCACCCCCCCTCCCCCACTTGGAGACAAGGTCTCAAGTAGTCCAGGCTGGCATGGAATTTGCTATGTAACTTCGGATGATGTGAAATTCTGATCCTCCTGCCTCCACTTCCCACATGCTGGGACTACAGGCATGTGCCACCAGGCTGTGGTTTATAATGTGCTAGGAATTGAACCCAGGACCTTCTGCTCACCAGGCAAGTTCTCTACCGCATATCCCAGCGCTCCCTGGTTGCATTCTAATTGCTAAATACTTGCATTAATTGTTATTATCAGGAACTCTAAGAACCTAAGAGAAAATGCAGCTTGACGTTCAAGGGTTCTCACAAGAGCACACAGCATTGCTCTTTAGAAACTTCTTATTCCAAATCTCCTCCAAATGCTCACATATGATGCAGACGCTTGATAATTACTTATTTTGGTGGCAATTAGATGACGCTGTTGTTCTGTGAGATGATATTGGCTAGGGGATTCATTATCTGCCTGGAGGAGAAATAATCCCGCGTCCATGCTTTTCCCAATCAACAGCTGAGTCCTGTGTGGGCCAAAGCTGATGGCAATGACCTCGGTTCACCCACGGCCCCTGGGATGTCCTTATTGTCACAGGCACACTTGCCAAGTCACTTGATGCCAGGGCTTCTGCCAGCAAACAGGGGAAGTGCATGCTAAGTTGGTGGCTTGCATTTTCAGGGAAGGATGAGCAAAACGCAAACCCACGGCCAGCTTTGCGGTGGAGGACACGTCTGTAGAAACGGTTCTGTTCCTGGGTCTGCAGCTCTCCTCCACCAACATACCACTTAGGACTTTGAGAGAAAAGATCTGTTTCTGCAGCACATCTGGCTTCATCATTTCCAGCTTCTAGGATTTCTCTGTTTTTTTACAAACAGACATGGTAATTCATGCGCTAACTGACGCTCAGACCATTCACATCAAGCCTGAGAAGAAAGGTGGTCCACTGTTACCCTGTGCGTGCACCCCATACATGATCCAGAAAACTTTACATTAAAAGTATGCATAAATATCTGGCTATTTTTCAAGATGGGAATAAATCAGAAGCTTACAAGAGCTTGTTCATACATAGTCCGTGGATATCTCAATACTATTTTAAGGGCAATCTTGCCCCTATTTAGAAAATAAAACAATTTTAATAGAAATAACACATAATGTTGTGAACATTTCCTTTTTTTCCTGGGAGTTTCACCAAAAAATTTAAACTCCTTTCACATCTAGGAGTGAGAAAACCCATCCCCTGGAGTCTACAGAGCGCCAGTCACACCACCCTGCTGGAAATCACCCCAAACTTTCCCACTGCCTTTGGAACCACAATAACCTTGATCTCCAGGTATCATGTACATTTTCTAAACACTGTATGTGTTATCTCCTACAACCATCCCCGGTGACTCCGTGAAGCTGATGGCATATTAGCCAAGGCTGGCGGAAACTGAGGTAGAGAGGTCGCGACTCTGCACGATGCAGCCCTTGGCCATCTCATGTATCTTCTCACACATTTGGCCACGGTGCAGCCACTTCACTGAGGAACGCTCTAAAGATGGCTCCCACCTCAGGGGCCGCTGCTGGCAGCACTCCCCCCCCCCCCCATACTCTGTGTCTGATTCACCTAATCTTAGGTCTCAGCTCAAGGATTACTTCTTCACAGAGGCCCACCTGAGCCCTTCAGGCATATACTGACCATGTGTGTCGCACAGCTATACTACTTCTTCGCAGATTATTTGGCACCCATCTTACCAACAGCAGGCATGGCACAGGGAGCAGAATTTACCTATAGCCAGCCAGCACGGTGCTTGGAAAATGTCCATTGAGCAAATGACTACATCCTGGTAATCTTAAAAAAAAAAAAAAAAAAAGTGGCAGGCTGTGATTCCTACTGTTCATGCATACAATTATAGAAAAATGTAAACTCACTTAAAGGTACAGAGCAAACATTATTAACCTTAGGAATAGGAAGAGACATCATAACAGTTATAATATAATGTGTCTAAGGCCACTTAGCAAGACTGTGGCAGAGCCCAAGGTTTGTACTTTGTTGTTGGAATACATTGCTGGCTGGTTAGAGGTTACAGTCTGCCATAGCCTGGAAGCTTTCTCTAAGCTCAGCAATATGGAAACTCCCTCACTCCCCAGCAAGGCTTCCTGCTCTCTACCTGTCCTTATCTGGAGAATGTCCCTGGGCCAGGAGGACTGACCTTATCTAAAAGCTGTCTCTAAACCAGATGCCTGATTCATCTTCAGCTTGACCCTTGGCACAGATCCCTGCTAAGAAGATTTATGCCAGGAGCTCTGTTATAGGACCCTACTGCCACATACTAAGCCTTGTGATAGGAGTGAGCCATTTAATGCAAATTAGGGTTTGTCCCCAGGCTCCCCAATCCTATATGTTCCTTATGCTCTGGAATAAAACTGAGCTGATTCATTAACATCTGTCTTCTGGGAGGCTGTCTCTATTCCTGCTCATGGGCCATGCACAAAGCTTTCTGTTGCCCTTTCTGCCTCTTTCCCCTCTCAGACTGATGGCCGACAGGCTGGGAGAGGGAAAGAGGACCCTCCACAGTGTTTCCCATGACTTCACTGTGGTGGAGACTGTGGAGAGGCTTCTTAAGCTCATTTCCTCTCTATCTCGACACACAGGAAGTCCACATTCCCCAGCTTCCTTTGCAGGTAGAATGAGGCCACGTGAAGAGGTCTGGGCCAGTTGGATGTCAGTAGAAGTGACATATCAAATATTCCTTGCAGCTCTGTTTGGACTTTAAAGAAAGGATTCAGTAGAGGAAACAGGAGGTCCTAGGAGATGGCAGAGCAAGGAAGGAGTCAGTGCTGAGGACCGCTGCCCGGAACAGCCACTCATGGTGCTGTTAGTCGCCAGGGCTTGGGCAGCCGCTTGTCAGGGAAACTTAGTACTTTGTTAGTGACCTGGGTAGTGGCACACATCAGTTGTCCCTCCCCAACACCTCTACGACACGCCACCGCCGCGTCATCTTGGTTGTTTTAGGTGTCTATATGTTCTTCATAAGTCAACAGCTTGGTGTGTCTCCCAGACGAAGCGGGTTCTGAAAATAGGCAAGGGAGAAACAGCCTTGCCCGATGACAGCTATGTGGAGTGTACTTGGCCAGCAGCATTCCAGTACCGGCAACTTATTTTAGAGGGGGTGTGGACCGTTTGGATTCATCACCGAAATGAGCCAATGCAGAATAACTGGGGCACAATAAGCTTGTCAGCTTTCTCTCACGGTGACAGCATGTCTGAGACGGAAGGACTTATTATAAGACAAGACAGCGTTTATTTGGGCAGATGCTCGCACAGGTTTGTGCTTCTTAGCCTGTGATGAAGTCACATATCAGGGTCAGGAACACGTGGTAGCGTAAAGATGGGTTCAGTGCAGCTAGGAAGGGAAAGAAAGAGACATGAAGGGGCCAAGACCTTGATTTCCCCACTAAAGAAATGCCCGCTTCAGCTAGGATTTCTATTACTCTGATAAAACACCATGACCAAAACAAGCTGTGGAGGAAAAAGTTTATTTCCTCTCACAGTCTGTCGTCTATCATCCAGGGAAGTCAGGGCAGGAGCTCAAAGCAGGAACCTGGAGGCAGGACATGAAGCAGGAGGCTG